TATATGAGGACTTGCTGCGTGCGATTTGTAAGGAACAGCAGTTTATCGAGAGGGCCGTATAAGATAGAGATGCATAGCTTGAGTTTGACTGAAATTAGGTCATAGTTGAAGGTATCAAAAGCCTTTTATAAATATTTTTCATAAATTTGTATTTGCCTATAATTGTGAATTTAAGACTCCTTTAATGCTCTCATTTAAAAATACTATTAAACAAATGACAAGTAATATTAAAAGATCAAGTATTAGCATATAATGGCTGGGAGTACATTTTAAATTTTTACCTTAAAACGACAGATACTAATGAGAATTAATATAATGGTGGCCATCGATACGATATCATTAGTGAATATTATTTTACGTATCAGGAAAACCTTGATGTATGCTGGATAGTAAACGAAGTATATAAGAAGGCTCCATTTGACCAAAGCATACAGGCAAGAAATATATGTCCTCAGTTGTCCAACAGGATATTCGAACACGCCCAAATTGCAGAACCCGCCGATGACCATTAATGGTGCCAGCGCTCTTTCTAGTGTCTCTGTCATAGTTTCCGAGTGGTCGGGTAATATTTTAACTGAATTAGTTCTTGCTGTTCGAGACACAAACACGTTTTAATATTTTTTATAAGATTTTCAAAAATACTTTTCGCAGTTTCTCTAAGAACGTAGTGAGAACTACACTGTAAGATATGTACACTGGGAGATATAACTTATGTTAAATGCCGTTCAACCAACAAGTATTGAACAACGGACGCGTTAGTTTCATAGAAAATACTATAATTATTTAAATATAGAACGCTATAATTATTTAAATATATAATGTCGTATAACGTATGTATATGCCCTTCAATCAGCAAGTATTGAACGACAGAATGAGCACACAGATAATCTAGATTAGATTGCATTTCTTTTTGCGGAATATTTATTCATGTGTTATTATGAGAGATAAACGATTATATACGTAACTATACTTACAACATTATGTCTTTATACTAGGTACAAATGCGTTTAATGGATGCTTTTTAATCACATGGCTTCTAACGACACGTGTCGACTTGAGTTAAGCTGATAACTTTAATAAAATATTTTATATATTGAAGTTATACGCACAATCCGGGAAAAAATATATCTTATATAATTATATATAGGTAGAAAATATAAAAAATGTAAATATAAAATTATATAAAAAATTATCATATATTACATACAATTATATGTACATAAGACAAATTTTTGTAAATTCCAATCATTTCCAGAAACTTTTTGCGATTTCTTTCTAAAAAAATATTATAAGATTGGTTAAATGAATTACAAGTATACATTTTAAATAATTTTAATTTAAGGATAAATTATTTAAGGATAATTGATCGATAATGATTCCATGTTGCTGATAAAATAATATATTACATTTTAAGAACTTACAAATCCACAGATATGCGCTGTGGCTTCGACAAAGCAAGGCAATAAGAATATACGAATTATGGACACGCTATTGGTGTGATTCGTTCTTTCCTTTACACTCTTTACACGTATTTATCAGAATATTTACAATGGGTATAAAAATCTATCTTCTATACTACCTATATGCTAAATACAATTCTCTCGATCCGTCAATTCTAGCTATAACGATTATCAATATTCTTGAGAATAATCTCTTCAAAATCGAATTAAATTAACTAAATTGCAATTTTTTAAATACAATAGATGTTATTTAGTTATTATTTTAAATTCAAGTATAGAATTTCAAGATTCTAAATGTATAGCGATATCAAAATTTCCTTAAATTTACAAATATATAGGAAAAAATTCGGTTTTTTTAGATCTCTTAGAATTTAAATTCTCGGAAATGAAAATTCTTCGAAAAAAAGAACATAAAAATTCGACAATTTAGGTCTTTTTTTGTTGC